CACTCGTCAAAATCAACACATACTTTGGATAATGCAAACCTCGCACTGACCTGGGGATTAACCATAATTTCGATGAATGGCACATTTAACTGTTTAATCTTTTACTGGAAAAACAAGGTGTTACGTACCGAAGGATGGAAAGTTTTGAAAAGCATGAAAATATGTCGACGAGTTGAATCCTAGCTGCACTAATAACCCTTCTTCAAAAAACGAAGGAAACTCACTGACAATATCTTGGTCATAGTAAATGTGAACCCAACGAACTATACACTTATATTGTTCTATATATTAATACGCATATCATCATCACTAGAAGAAAGACAGTAGCTGTAACTAGGGTATAAAAGGCACTGTTATGATTGTAATTTCATCCATTCCTAAAGATGACGAAAATATAGTTGAATAAAACGTAGAAAAATTCTTTCATTTCTTTAAATTAATTCATTACATACAACGAGATGTATGAAAATGTGCCATGTTACTGTACGTTAAGTATCGGATATGTTGTACAAATTTAATTTTCTCATCCTATAATAAAGATTATATAGGCCTTTAACTATCGAATGAGATATTTTTTCCATCATTGCGAAACTAAACTAACACGACCAAACTTAAAATGGCCGATTTTGCTGCCAATTCCATGATAATTGCAAACACGTCTGTCTGAGTGTTCAAATTATTCTGTAGAAGAATAGTCAATGAATAGCTGTCAAAAGAATAATCAAAATAAGAATAATCTATAGTCTTGGCAATTAAATTTAAATATGATTTAACTCGCGATTAGACAACGAAATGTTGTGGATAAAACATTTTACGAAACCTGAAGTTTGCAGCGGACTTGCAATGCCCATATAATGTTTCTCTCACATACAGCGACCTCCATTTGGGCAAATGTTTGAAAATTCTGAGAATATTTTGTTATCGACCGGTAATTTGAAGTCGTTCCTATTTGGTAATTTTTATTCGCAATGAGATATTATCAAATGACGTTGGAAAATATATTCGAGTGTTTCAAACTCTTGAAATTTACAAAATAAATAAGCACATTTTAGAGAGAATCTAAAATCCAGAAAATTTCTCACTTTTGACAAAAATGTACATGTGTATGAAATGATTTTAAAACGTTCATTTATCCTCACAACGGCTTCTCGTACGTGCCATATCATGTAAGTTGGTGACAGGTGACGTAGGCTAAAATTACGAAATTAAATCAACAGTCGAACATGTATATATATCGACCATCTGCTCGCCATCATGGAGCATTGGCTTTGGTCGAAACATTTATTTAGGAAGTAGTGTATTGTATAATTACTTTCTTATTGTGAATCGGTTTAGAATAACATAGAGACATATAGTTGATAATGTAAAAATTGAAAGCGAAACGCGAGCTTGTATTTCTTTTTATTTCTTAACCAATGACTCGACTCGACGAAACGTTCTTTTTCGCTTGGGCCACTTGTACTTTCAAAACAAACTTTCATTTACATGTCTCACCATCGCACCTGTTCTCAAGTTGTTTTCGAAAAGGCAAAACTGCAATTGCAAACTATAATATATGTTGAACGAGAACAAAAGATAATCATGCACTTTATACAACTTTAAAATATCACTTTTTTATATACTACGACTAGCAAAAAAGCAAATTACTAAAATTAAAAATAAATTATAAAAGTTAATAAACTTTTAGCATTGCACGTTCGAAATTCATACAATAATAATAGGAAAATGTCGCGTGTAAATTTTATACATTTATTAAGAGCCAACCAGGAGCAGTTGTGAAAAATGCAACTATATATATAGACCCTCTGGCAGGAATCAAACCTGTGGTCCTGTGATTCCAGTGCAGCGCTCTAACCAACTGAGCTACAGAGTCCACTTGGATAGTTCATCATAAATGTATAAAATTTACAGTGAAAATTTCCATCTACAAAATCATTCAACATTATTCTTCAGTCAACTGAGATGCCCAAAAATCATAATAATAATATGGTTCGACCCCCCCCCCCCTCCCCATCGACACTTTCCTTTAGGATTAATTTTGTAATTTTTCAACACTGTGGAGAAACTGGGGGGCTGTAACCTCATAATATTTGCATCTATGATATAATAAATATACCAAATCTATGGAAAACGTGTCTAAAATACATGAAATAGCGTTTCGGAAACCCTAATAATTGAAGAATATTCCGGGAGACCATGTCCCCTCCCTCCCACACGTTTGGGGCTGTCTATGCCCCTATCCCCCACAATTACAGAAGCTCTCGCATCACTAATAAAGATAGAAATAGTTTGTTCTGAGGACGTGCCGTTGATCAGCATAATACTTCATGTAGAAGGTCTTTTGAAGTTTGAAAAGTCAAAATGACAGTGGACATATTAATGCTTGGATTTTAAAACGTACAATGTCAAAAGGATTTTAATTATACTTTGCCGCAGTATATAAATAGGTCTTATACTAAAGTTATGTAAAGTACATATCATTCTGTCAACATGTATAATTAAAACCCGCCTTAGTAGTTATTAGTGTTTGTGGTTTTGGAAACCAACTTAAAAGCAGGGCGAGACATTTGTTTTGAGAGGACAGATGGCCCAAGCTAACAGCACGTTTCATCTTACTGCCGAGTTAAGCACATTATAAGATGAGGCTAAGAGTTAACCATGAGACTATAAACGTATAGTTAATTAAAAAAATAAACTTCAGTTCTAAACTGTTTTCCCTAGAGGTCCAGCAAGCAGAGGCGCCGGAATATCGACAATTGGGGGGAGGGGGGGGGCAAATATTTATATATTCGTGTTCTGCCCAATTAATTTGTTTTGAAATCGATTGTTTTTACAGTCTGTGAACACGAATATATGAATATCTGCCCCCGCTATTATCGATATTCCGGCGCCTCTGCCAGCAAGGGTCATCTCTTATATATTTCAGGATTACTGCTGGAGAAAACCTAAACACAGAAGCATGCTATAATAGGCCTTCCTCATATTACCATTTTATGATGTAATAGTTGACTTGTATATGTCATTTATACACTTGAGTACTTGAAATTCAGCTGTCATACTTAAAAACAACAGTTTTAGTTTTATGTTTAATTCTTGAGAGTCGCTCGAGGATGCATGGAATCTTATTATTTTATCAACCTCATATTCATATTTGCTGTGAATGTGTTCTTCTTTTCCTCGGGAATATGTTTAAATTCCTTGGTCATGCATACTCACTTTCTGGAGGTCTGTACAACTTCGAAAAGAAATTATGTTATTTCATGATAATGGTTTTGTCCTGTTGCGATTTGCTTACGGTTTTAACTGATAGTCCATTGACTGCCCTTATCTCTATGTCATCGTTGACGGGAAAGGTGGATGGAAATGCTAGATGGCCTCATATTTCCTCAACATCGAAAGGTATTTCCTTTGGTTTTTCATGGTTGTTTACCTTTTACTTGGAAAACCACTGAGCTATAATGTAACTGGAGGAAGTGCTCGGCATCAAAAGGTGAAGCCAAAAACATGGCGGATTTTCACGTTTGCTGACGCAAGAATGACGCCACTGGTCCTAAATCCTCGTGGTAATTACCACTGGCCAACCGCGATCCTCGGTTTTTGACGACAATTTCACCCCCCTGGTTTTTGAAAAAACCCTGAAACTCTGCTGAAAGTTTTATATATAAAAATCATCAAGAAAAAATGCCGAGTTTTTGCATGGCTTCATGATGCCACAATTCTTTATCAAGAAGAGACACTTTTTTACAGGTAAGATGTATATTAAACTGTTTCTGTGCTTCATTTCTACTAAATAAATACCGTGTTTTCAAGAAAAATTGGATACGAAATTAACAACTATAAACGACGCTGTACAGCAGCTGGTATTTTTCTGCCTTTATCACTTTTCTTTGTGTTTTATTTTGCCATTTGGGCAGGTTATATTTTTGTTTTCCTCTGGAGTCCTTAGCCAAAGATCCAACATCAATTTTAACATACAATATAGTATCAGATTTGCCTTAAAATGATGGACAAATGGTGTCAAGTTCCAACTTGTCCAGGGTTTTAAATTTTTAATATATTGTCACAGGACTAGGATGCCAATAGTGGTTGTAATGGGCACAAAACAGATCAAAACTGTTCCTAATAAGTGTCTCTGTAGGAGTATAAGTGTTGAGTAAAAGCTTGCAAGGCTCACACTACAATCTTGAGTTGTGATTTTAATAGACAATTTTAATCTTTTTTCATGGCTAACAGTAGAAAGCCCAATATCTAGTTGTACAAGTAAAGTTTATAGTTCATACATGAAATGGCCAGCAAATTGATGAATTTGAATTTATGGCAAATATGAATTTATGGAAATACTGCAAGTACATAGAAATAGAAGTCAATGGGTGGGAAGGGATGCCTATAATCATGCACTCTAATTTCTATGCCTGAAAAAACATTTAATATTTGAAAATTGAAAGGAAAAAATAATATAATGTTCAATAGCATGTAGACCAACTTATGTAGATAATATAGTACATTCCTAATTGGATATGTATTCTATTACACTTTTCCAGATGCCAAGAAAAATCCAGAGATGTGTAGAAAACTTTAAGAAGAATGCCCTGGTTAAATTTCTTGCCACAAAAGAGAATCACCTTTGTTCAAAGCAATTGATATAATATTCCACTTAATTTAAATCAACTTATTGAGCACCAGCACTCCCCTTCACAAATAGAATTGTCTGCCATCAGACAGTTCTAATATAATAATAAAGTGGGGTGCATTGGGGCACATTGCCACTTTCAAAGGTTTAGCATATACTAGTCAACCCATGAAGAGCCAGAGCTCTCCCCTTGCATTGACAAGTATATTTGTCAGGCATTTGACAGGCAGGGCCGTGGCTAGCACGATAATTGGGGGGGGGTGGGATATTCATATATTTGTGTTCTGCCCAACGGATTTCTTTTGAAATCGATTGTTTTTACGGTATGTAAACAGGAATATATGAATATACACCCCCCCCCAAAAAAAAAAAAAAACATTGGTGCATTATATGGTCCATTGCCACATATCAAAATGGAAAATAGGAGCCCACAGCACCTCTCTTGTTCTCTCAGGGGGAGGTAGGGGGAGGTTAGGGACGGACCATTAGAAAGTGATTGGGGGGAGGGGCAAAACCAAAAAAAAAAATTTCCAGAAAAAAAATTAGGGGGAAAATCTTTCCAGGCATAGTGCAAAAAAAAATTCCTAGCTTGGAAGATATAAATTGCACTTAAAAATATTTCCAGGCATCAAGTGAGAAAAAAAAATTATTACTTCTATAGGTGTATAAAAATATATATATTACCTCTTAGAACCCCCCCCGCCCATCACTTTTCTAATGGTCTGTCCCTTACACTCGCAAATTTTGCATGTTTGAAACAATTGGCTGGTTTGATATTTTAATTGATTATTGCAATATTTTCACACAGATATTGTAATTTGTTAATTTTATTTTTAATATGAAAATAATGTAATCTAGCTAATAACTATGACAATAAATCAAAATACTGTTAATTAAATTGTATTTCATGTGGATATAGTTAATTAATTAAA